GCTTGCAGTGCATCACAATAGAAGGTTTGGATCCTAGAATGAACCAATAGATTGATCCGGATCCTAGTAGTAGCCAGTTGGTAAACAATACTCTGTAAATAGCCTATCGTGGGATGTGGGGTGTGTGTTGGGTGTGGGGTGTTTCATGACTATAAGCAGGGCTGCAAGTTTGTCTTAGTTTTGAGCTGAAACCACTTAATAAACATGAGCTAATCACTCTACGCGTATGAACCTAGAACATTTCAGGAGCGTTGCCCATTGTCAGCCCCCCCCTATGGCTACAGGCCTGCATATCAACCTTCTAGAGATGAAAGCTGTTTGTAATGCCCTTAACTACTTTTCAGATGTACTGCACAGGAATATTATTATTATTATTACATTACATTTCTATACCGCTCCTTCCCAGAGGCTCGGAGCGGTTTACACATATACATTTAATCAGATAACTAGGGCCACATACATATCGGGAGATGGATGCCTCACCAGGCACCTACGCAGCGTAGGTCTTTCTGTGGCGGGATCTTGCTAGGACCAGGCGGTAGTGTCCTTTGGCGGAGGTCTTTTTTTTCCGTCTCTTCGGCTCGGCTTCCTGGGATGGTCCTTTTATGGCGCGCGGCTGCACGATGAGGTCGCAACTGGTCTCTGTCCCGGAGGCTCTGACCGTGCTTACGTCACCGCGCCTCCACGCCGCCTCCAGTCACCTCCCGAGTCACCTGCTGTCTGCCGCCGATCCGTCGCCATGTGGTTCCAGGTACTGCTGAACAGATCATTACAGACATATATCCATCTCCCTCAGGTGGAGGACCTCCTAGTAATAGGAGGCAAGACCTATCCGGGCCTACACTACCTGATCTTGACAGCACCGAGACACAGCAGTTCCCAAGAGCAGTGACTGAAGTTCTGGTAAATGCTTCTATCAGGTCGTCATACAAATTTAAGTGGCAACGTTTCATTACCTGGTTAAAACGTCATGGGATATCACCAGAAACTTGCCAACTACCTTTGATCTTGGAATGTGTCTTCTTTGAAGCAGACAGGGTTGGCCAACTCCTCAGTTAAGGTGCATTTAGTAGCTATTTTGGCCTTCCATGCCCCACTAGAAGGCAAACCTCTTTCTTCCCACAGGGCATCTAAGAGGTTCCAAAAGGGTCTCAGTAATTTATAGTAAAGGTAAAGGTTTCCCTTGCTCGATAGCTAGTCGAATCCGACTCTAGGGGGTGATGCTCTTCTGTGTTTCCAAGCCAAAGAGCCAGTGCTGTCCAAAGACGTTTCTGTGGTCATGTGGCCGGCGTGACTAAATGCTGAGACGCACAGAACACTGTTACCTTCCCACCAAAACGGTACCTATTTATCTACTTGCAATTTCTTGCTTTCGAACTGCTAGGTTGGCAGGAGCTGGGGCCAGAGATGGGAGCTCACTCCGTCACGTGGCACTAGGGTGTCAAACTGCTGAGTTACAGACCTTCCAGTCTGCAGCTCAGCATCTTAACCTCTAAGCCACCATGACCCTACTTCAATAATTTATACTCACCAATAATACTCATTTTATCCTAATGGTCGTTCACGTTAGTCTTGACCCATTTGATGTGGCCCCCTTTCGAGCCTTTGACCACTTGCTCCATGGAGCATCTCCTAGTAGCTATTACTTCAGCTAGGAGGGTAGGCGAGATCGCTGCTTTTAGGGCTGACTATCCATTCATCAAATTCCATGAACGGAGAGCTGTAGTAAGACCTAGTTTAAAGTCTTTACCCAAGGTAGTGTTCGAATTCCATTGCAATCAAGTTGTTTCAATCCCGACTTTCTTTTCACACCCTTCATTGGAGGCAGAGAAGAGGCTACACACCTTGGATGTCAAACATGCATTACTGTTTTATTTAAAAAGAACAAATGACATTAGAAGAACCGCTCAACTATTTCTTTGTTTTGCTGACCAGTCTATAGGCAAGGCAGCTTCAGCAGAAACCATCTTGAGATGGATAGTTTCAACAATCAAGAAGACATACACTTTGGCGTCTGTACAATGCCCTTTACAGGTCACAGCACACTCTACAAGAGCACAAGCTGCATCCGCTGTGTTTCGTCAAGTCATCCCATTGCTAGAAGTCTGCAAGGTTGCCACTTGGGCCTCTTCAGACATTACTCTGTAGATGTGAATATAAGAAGAGAGACATCAGTGGGGACAGCCGTACTGCAGTCTGTTTTCCAGTGAAATGGCCCACTCCACCACCTGGAAATTTAGCTTGGCAGTCTCCCATGTGGGACTGCACAGGACAACGAAAATGAAAACAGTGTTGCACTTACCTGTAACTGTTGTTCATTTAGCTGTCACTGTGCACAGTGGGTATATCCCACTGTCTTAACATCCGAACTGTGTTAGTTCGAGCCCCGCGCTGGTGTGAGCAGCCAGCCTGTTGTCCCCAGCTCATCGTCCACCCAGCAATTCGAAAGCTTCGGCGAGTAGATAAAATGGGAACCACTCCTTAGAGAGGGTGGGCACACCAATCTCCCTTGTGGGAGGGTGTTAGCTGATGGTCGGGACGTCCTGGTCGAGGTTCGGAAAAAGGCGGAAGAACTTCTCAGCTACAAAAATCCCTGCAGTGGATGTTTCCAGCCAGGCGGTGGCAGTGTGGCGATTTGACATACGGGAAAATGACTGAGCCAAGCCAGAAGACGTTTACACCATGCAGTGACAGCGTGTGCAGTTAAATGAATATATGTTGTCTTCCCTATCCCCTATGAACATTGTTAGTCCCCTGTCTAAAATGTGTAACTGTACATTGCTTTGAGCCCACTGGGGAAAGCGATTAATAAATTGAAAGTAGTATTATTATTATTATCCCTCGCTCCTACCCTGCTGTGAGCAAAAGAGAGAGAGAATCAATTTGAGCTCATAGCTGTGGTTAAGGAGAACTGAGGGAGTGTGTGGAGCCCCTCCCTTGACCACATGGCCATTAGGCAGGAAACGGCTCACGCGTTTCCAGTTGGGAGGGGCTCTTTCCACTCTGTTGCTGTGTTAGCTAGAAATCTTCTGGCGGCTGGCCTGCACAGTACCCATGTGTGCCTGCACAGTGACAACTTGATGAACAACAGTCACAGGTGAGTGCAACACTGTTTTCCACATGCCAGACTCTCTTCAGAGTTCACTGGATCCAAGCCTAAATGTTTAAGTGGACCAAAACATTTATATATAGCAAATGAATGGGTTCAAAAATACAAGTGAAGATGTAAGAATCGACGATATAGTGAAAATACCTTCCAGGCTTCTATATTCATGTGGTTCCATAACCCCATAAATCACTATGCAGACAGTTTTGAAAAGCAGGAGCAAATTTGTGGGGTGCTGTAATAGCAGCTACTAATGTATCATTAACCAATGTTGGGTCATCTGTTCATTATGAGCCAGGACACACAATGGCCATGGGATCTGGCCTACAGACCACAGTGATTATTACTTTGTTGTTACTAGTCCAACCCCTCTGCATCCTCTTCTGTCGTGAAGAGCTGCTTCCCTGTCTGTGTATACAGTTCTGATCTTCTCTCTGTGAACTGCCTGTTACATTTTAGGTATTATCCAGAAATCCATGTGTAGGCAGAAATGTCCTTGGTAATAAAGAAAGCTATCACTACCAAAATTAAAAAGAAAAAAAGCGGGGGTGTAACTACTAGTAAATGAGTAGCTCAGTGAAATGCTGTGGTATGGTTTCTTACACTTTGCTGCTGTGTAACTATGACAGCTGAAAGCAACCTTTTGCAGTTGTATGCTCATTTGCATATGTTTATATAAATGAATTGCTTCTATATTGACTCATTAAAACATTGGACAGAGCAGAGAATAAGAGCTGATAAATTTAGACTGTTATATTAATTTATTCCTTTTCTGCTAAATACTGAAAGGAAAGATTTACTTGAGAGCCTACTACAGATATGTAGCTGGAAGGTAGGGTAGAATTTTCTGAAAATAAGAATAAGTGATACACTACTTACAAATCCCTTTGGGTTTTGAAGATCATTCTTCAACAGAAGATAGAATCATAATGTACATGGTGACTAGTAATGGGGAACTGGAGGTATCAAAAGGGCAATTTTTTAGAGTTGCATGTTTGATTTGCTTGACACTGACCCCTGGCTTTTCCGGGTTTAGGGACGGATCGGGGACAGGTGCGCGCCGCTTCCCAGATGTTGCGGTGAGATCACGCCCGTTTGCTGCACCCCAAATCCGTCCCTCTCCTGGGCCAAAATCTTCCGTGTGACCGGGGCCACTTTGTGCTACTGATTTGCTACTGGAACAAAGTTGCTTTCTACTTTCCAGTGTCACATCCCAAAGCCAGCTTTGCAGTACCAGTTTTGCTGCTCAAAAGGAGAGTGAGCAGAGCAGGCACAATGGCTTTTAAATAAATAACAGAGTTTTTAAAACCACATTAAAAGCTGCTTTGTTTCTACCTTTATGAAAGTACATGAACATTTATGGAACACTACAGACCATAAGCGTGAACTGGCTTCTAGTGTATGTGTGTGTGTGTGGGGGGGGGGGTTAAAAAGAGGCTACATATAAATTATCAGTGCCACAGTAATTGTGGACAAAAGGTAATCTCCCAGGACTGGATCCAGCCAGCTTTTTCACATTAAACTTTAACATTTCCTGTCTTTACTACATTCCCCATCCCACATGGCTTTTGGTCATGCAGGTCTTATGATCCCTCTCATGTTTTATGGTAGTCTAAAAGACACACTTTGCCGTCTTTCACCAGTGGAAACCTCCCAGCGAACTACTTGGGAGCTTATTGATAATAAACTATTGTGGCTGTCCAGTATTATTAGTTGGAATCTTCACCTTATTTTCTTCAAATATAGCCTTTTCCCACTTAGATATATGTACATTTTCCCCTCAAGCTCCTGTACTGAAATGATTGAACAGTGGACAAAAAATGTCTCTGATATTGCAAGGTTGCTTTTTATTATACATATTTTAAGAGAGTTTTTTTAACCCTCTTTGGATTAGGTAGGAAAAACTGGCTCTTACTTGCAATTCCTACGAATACTCTTTCGCATGCTGATCCGGTTACTGGAGGTGGATGTGTACGATGAGGAGGCCATTAATACTAGTAAGTACTAAAATACAATTCTCATTTTAGTGAGTGCATTAAGTTCAAAACCACATATAGCCTGTAAATATGTGAAGACTTATCTAAAAAAAATCTGGAAAATAATCCTAGACGATAACCCCTCCTTATCTAAAGATTTTTCAGTTTCTGGTTAGAACACTGGAAATTGGGGGGGGGGAATGAGGAAAAATGTTTTATGAAGTATTTTTCATTTTAGACTGTTAAGGCAATTAATTTTTATTTTTTCTGTTACCTCCCTCAAAATGCCTTCTTATTAACAGTGTTTGTAAGACTATTTAGTATGGTCAACAGATTTATACAATTACAAGTGGGGAACCTGCAAGGACTTTGGGGGGTATCTCCTTTCCCCTTCCCTCACTGTTTCCTTTTCCCTGCCCTAAAAGCCCCGTAGCTTCTCCCCTTCTCCTGCTTCCTTCTCTCCTTACAGCCATCATACTTCTATCTACCCCCCTGTCTTCAGCTTTCCCTCTTTCCTTCTCCAGAGCAGCCTCTGTGTGGGGAAACCAGATATATGGTGCTGGCTACTGGGCCAGGCCCATTTCTACAGTGAGGAACCCCTAAGGACTTGCAAGGGGCACATCATCTTTCCCCGTATCCCCTTCCCCATACTGTGTCCCCTTTTCTGCTTCCTGGTAAACCCCCCGTCTCATCTTTCCTTGCTTCCTTTTTTCTGCTTCCCACCCACGCACCAACCTACTTTTTATTTGCCACCCATCTTCAGCTGTATATATTTTTTCATTTATGCCCTGCCTTTCTCCACAGTGGGTACCCAAAGCAGCTTACTTCATTCTCCTCTATTTTATCCTTACAACAACCCTGTGAGGTAAGTTAGGCTGAGAATGTGTAACTGGCCCAAGGTCACCCAGTGAGTTTCCATGGCTGTCAGAGACTCCAACTGGGTCCCCCTGGGTTATTGCTCCCGGTTCCCAGTTTGGAACCTCTGAATGACTTCCTAGACCTGTGGATCCTCAAGGTTGGATGCACACAAGAAAACCAGACCTTATAAAACTGTATACAAGTTTAGTAAATTATTAAAAGAATTGAGTATGCAGCACAGTCTCTTTAGCTCAGCAACAAGAAAACAAAAAAGCTAATTTTTCTAATACATTGCATACCTTGGTATTAGATGGCAATTCTCTTGCAGCATAAAATCCAAGCAGTAGTGTAAAAGCATTCTATACATAGCTGTTGAAAAATTCTGGTCCCCAGGTAACTGTCTCGGACCACTTGAGTTCAATGCGTTGGATCGAGACTGGCAAGCCACTGAATCTTCAGAGAGAGAGAGGGAGAGGGAGAGAGAGGACAGTTGCTTCATACTAAAAACTATTTATTGAGCCTTGAAACCATGCTGAAGAAAAACACAACAACATACAGAAATATACCAAACTAGGAAAAAGGCCCGTTATGGAAATAAATACAACAAACTTTAGAAAGAGGCTCTGGGCGGGTGCCCCGGCCTTGGACACTCAGTGTCAATTTGCTGTGGCGACCTCAGCCGGGTATAATGACACTGAGTCCACCATTTTCTCCAGAGGAACTGATCTCTGCTACCTAAAGAACAGTTGTAATTTTGAGTGATCTCCAGCCCTCACCTGGAGATTAGTAATTATGGTTCCCCAGAAGGGAATGGTTGGTTTGGAGGGTGGAGTACCTGTACGAGGTCCCACGCCTCCTGAAACCCCACCCTCTCCAGGCTCCATCCCTCACATATCCAGGAATTTCCCACCAGGAGTTGGCAACCCTATCTCCTTCCCAGCCAATCATCAACCTACCTTT